ATAGTGATTGCTTGTAGTTGGTCGTGTGCCCAGCGACAGTAGCGATGTTTATTTATAAGTTAGACATGTTTTAATAAGGCAGAAAGCCTGAAATAGGAGAATGAAGAGGGAGGAACACGGAGCGACGTCCGTCCCCTCTGAGCTCTGACAGACGACTGAGGGAGCCCAGCTCCTGACGGAGGAAGACCCTCCCAGCGAGTGAGGACCGCCGCCAGGCGAGGTGGAGTATGGACCCGCCCAAAACGGGGGAGTCCACTCTCACTGTATGTAGAGAACAGATAGAGGTTTGAGGCAAGCATATTGTGTGGTTATTTTTGTTTATGTGTTAAAGGGGAACATTTTATTGGAGTGTCGATGGGTTGCAGGTTTGTCTTTGGGGGAGAAGTTGCTGAGAACTTCGAAGCCAGCCTAGATGAAGTAATTGATGAGACTCCAAGGTAGTGAAGCAGAGGACCTCGAGCTGTGAGGAGAAGCAGTGAAGAGGAGTGTCACGTGCTTCTGTAGAGGTGGTGTAGCAGCCAAGAGAGCTGTGGAGGAACCTAGCAGAAGGGTGAAGCACCGTAGTTGCTCAAGGAAACTTCATGGTAGCAGCCTGGAGGAGCTGCAGAGGATCCTGGTAGTGAAGCCCGGAAGAACCTAAAGATATTAGGGTAGTGAACTTCCAGAGGTGGAAGGGGAAGTTCTGGTGGATTACTTGTAGGGAGTTGATAGTGTTTGGTTGTCATTAGCGTGCAAGACGCAGTGAGAGGTGAGTGACTGTTTGCATTCTTATGTCAAGGAGTGTTTTACACTGAAGTTTAGAGTTACAGTCGTAGGCTGGATTACCTACAGATGTATGCGTTCTAGGATTGATAGAGTGATCGATTGATCATTGTTGTGTATCAATGAACATTTATACTGATATGTTATTGCATTCAAATGCTGATTTTCTTGGTACACATTTATAGATACATATATGTATTCTCTTGCTGATGGTGCAACAGTGTATGTAGACTTGATCAACTTGAGGAGGTTGATAGTATCAGGTGGTGAACCAGGAGATAGGATACCACTTGATAGAGTTCTGATGGTGTTGGAGTGCAACCTGATTGTAATATTATAGAGTATAGGATTCATTATTATTATATGTGTGTATGTATTGTGTATGTGCTTTGTCCAGTAAATGTATCACAATTTGCTGGTGTTTGCCCTTGTCCTAGTGAGGCTTCCCAGGAGGTAGTAAAGAAGGAGAGAGAAAGAGAGAAAGAACCAAGAACCACTGCTGTGGACAGGGTAGGAGGTAATACTAGTAAGTCATAGGGGATTGAGGAGATCATATCTCATAAGGAGAGAGTGGGGAGTCACAGCGGCTCGAGTGGGTGTGTGCACGTGACAACGAGGCTAAGTGTTGGAGCCGCATCCCCTAAACGTGTGACGTTGAGCCCCTCTCCAAGAGCCAGAAGCGCCAAGGGTGACCTCCTAGTATAAGCACTCTACCGAGTTGTGGGTTGGGTTGTCCATAGAGAAGGATCAACGACGACCAACCAACCCACAGTCTATAATACCACTCAATAAAACATGTAAATTATTGGAAGGGTGAGCGCACACTGGGAAGCAACTCCGCCAGCGTGGTGTCGTGTGTAGCAATATGAGGACGGATAAATGTTCAAGAGATCAGTCGCTGAGATGAGCGACTTATTGGCAGAATGGTACATCATAATTGAGGATTTATATATGAGGATCAGATTCTCAACGGTGATTGGTTGTCTGACATTGTAAGCAGACTAACCTTCATCTTTAAGATGAGTGGCAGTGTTGAGTGAATGGTGCATGTACGAGGGAGGAGCGTGAGTGTGAGTCAAGAGATGAGTGAAGGTAGAGGAGAGTAAGGTGTCACGCCGAGTGCCTCACACCCCTGGTGCCCCTCACTGGTCCAACTTGGACGCAGCACGAGCCGCTGGTCATCAGAGGGGATGCGTAAACAAAGGCCGATTCGTGATGTTGATTGGCTGCCATGTACCGATGGGACCAGCATGAGGGCCAATCATCAAAGTGGATATATAAAGCTAGGTCTGATTTGTAACGTTGATTGGGGATCGTTTTTCCCCAACAGCCAGAGTGGCAGCCAATCATCGAACTCTTTGTGAAAAGTGCGGATGGGTGCCACGTTGACGCCTATCTGTCGCCATCTTACCCTTTCTCCGTCATCTGCCTCTCTCCTCCATTACCTGATACCTGATACCTGATACCTGATACCTGGTACCTGGAGCCAGAAGTACCGCCCCTCTACCTCTCTCCTCCATTACCACATCGCCTCTCTACCTCTCTCCGCCTCATCGTCACCCGACCCCATACTTACCTATCAGTGTCTACGGGGGAGTGAGGTCTAGCGTTACAGGTCACGTCTGCCAGCCTTGTTACCTGTGGCGTGTCACCATAACTACTCTTTCAAATTCTTTGTCAAGTCGGGCCTTAAAGTTGTGGCTGGAGGTGGCTTCCACAACTTCCTCTTTTAGAGCATTTCACTTGATAACTTCCCGTACAGGGTAAGAGAACTTCTTACGTCCCTTCGGCTGATTTGCGCCTCCAGCCTCCACCTGTGTCCTCCTACTTTCTTTCAATCTGAAGAGGCTATCCTTGTTCACCTTATCTATTCCCCCTTAATATTTTGTAAGTTATGATCATTTCTCCTCTGTTCCTCCTATCCTCTAGGGTGGTGCGATTTAGTTCCATTAGACAATCTTCGTAACTTAGACCTCTTAACTCTCGCACCAATCTTGTTGCAATCTGCTTGAAGGGGTTCTGGGAGTTAGTTCGTCTACTCCCCAAGCCCGGCCCGAAGCCAGGCTTGACTTGTGAGAGCTTGGTCCACCAGGCTGTTGCTTGGAGCGGCCCGCAGGCCCACATAACCCACCACAGCCCGGTTGGTCCGGTACTCCTTGGAGAAAACTATCTAGTTTTATCTTGAAGATGTCCAAGGTTGTTCCGGCAATATTTCTTATACTCGGTAGGAGTGTTGAATAACCGCGGACCTCTGATGTTTATACAGTGTTCTCTGATTGTGTCTATGGCACCCCTGCTCTTCACTGGTTCTATTCTGTTGTACTTTTTCAGTGTTAACTTTAATGTTTCACAAGGTGCGTATTCCATACCGGTGATGCGTATTCCAGTGCTGGTCAAACAAATGTTGTGTAGATTGCCCTGAAAGAGTCCTGATTCAGGTTTCTAAACAATGTTCTTATGTTTGCCAGCGTCCCATATGCTGCCGATGTTATCCTGTTTATGTGTGCCTCCGGTGTGAGTGTCTGAATTATAGTCACTCACAGATCCTTCTCTTTCTGATTCCTTTAGCTGCCTCCTGGTCTCCTCTCTCCATTTCCCATCTTCATTATTTTACACTTGTTGGGATTGAATTCCAGCAACCATTTGCCTGACCACTCCTGGAGTTTGTAACTTCCTGTAGTCCTCGTGCGCGTGTGTGCGTGCGTGCGTGCGTGCATACTGACCATCCCCAGGATGTAGCCTACAACAGCTGTCTGACTCCCGGGTACCTTTTTACTGCTAGGTGAAGAGAAGCACCAGGTGAAAGGAAACGGTTCCCAAATGCTTCAGTCCTGCCACAGGGATAGAACCCGTGAACCTCGAGTGTCACTGACAGTCTATTGCGCCACATTGAACACTCACACACTCACTCACTCACTCACTCACTCACTCACTCACTCACTCACTCACTCACTCACTCACTCACTCACTCACTCACTCACTCACTCACTCATTCACTCAATTTCATTGTTGTTGAGGACCTTAGTATGAGTAGAGGCTACAACAGTGTGATGATGTGCTGGTGAAGAGATCATATAACCGTATGATATCACTCATATATCATATAACACGCACATATAACCCCACAGTTATAGTGCAACACCAGCGTGCAACAAGTGCATGTAACCAACCCATTATTAATGGTGTACAAACACAACTACAAGAAAAATGTTAAGAGATAATAATATAATAATGATATCGTTAGATAATAATACTAATTGTTATTGTCTTAAATACAATTCAACTTTCTCCATCGGCTCCCGGTGTTTTGGGGTGGACGGTAGAGCGACGGTCTCGCTTCATGCAGGTCAGCGTTCAATCCCCCGACCGTCTAAGACGTTGGGGGGTACCATTCCTTCCCCCCGTCTCATCCCTAGTCCTTATCCTGACCCCTTTCCAGTGCTATATAGTCTATATAGCAGGCTTGGGGAGTAGAAAAACTCCCAGAACCCTATCAACCAGATGACTTAGCACTTTCCGCTGATAATTCCCTCCCGGTGTTATCCCTCAATCTCTAAGTGAAAGCCTCTTTGTACCTCTTGCCTGGACCCCGTATCTTTGTCTCCTGGAAGACCAACTCTCTTCGCTGCAACATTTTATATCGTGACATCCTCATTTATTTTCTTGGAACCATATCCTGTTTATCTATTGGGGAGCCGGTGGCTGAGCGGACAGAACACTGGGTGCGTGATCCTGTGGTCCCGGGTTCGATCCCGAACACCGGCGAGAGACAATGGGCAGAGTTTCTTTCACCCTGATGCCCCTGTTACCTAGCAGTAAATAGGTACCTGGGAGTTAGTCAGCTGTCACGGGCTGCTTCCTGGGGGGTGGAGGCCTAGCCGAAGACCGGGCCGCGGGGACACTAAGCCCCGAAATCATTTCAAGATAACCTCAAGATCCCTGGAACCCTTCCATATTGTTGGATCCCAGTGTTGCCCGCTTCGACCCCACTCTTCAGCACCCGTACAAACTCCCATATATGGCCTTGGAAGCCAAACTGTTCCAGATATCCTCAGTTCGTGAGTGCCTCAGAAACTACTCTAGACTCTTAGAGAATCTAGACTGTCATCTTTCCCCTGATGACTGGGGGGGGGAGGAGAGGAAAGAAAGAGGGAAGAAAGAGCCAAGCCACGTCTTGGGTCTCCGTATTTTACTGGGACCTCATCTATCTTTAGCCACATCTTCATTTTATCTTTTGATTATATCTTTAACTGGAGCTCTGTGCCGTCTTCCTGGGGCTGTGTGCCGTCTTCCTGGTGCTGTGTGCCGTCTTTCTGGTGCTGTGTGCCGTCTTCCTGGTGCTGTGTGCCGTCTTCCTGGTGCTGTGTGCCGTCTTCCTGGGGCTGTGTGCCGTCTTCCTGGGGCTGTGTGCCGTCTTTCTGGTGCTGTGTGCCGTCTTTCTGGTGCTGTGTGCCGTCTTCCTGGGGCTGTGTGCCGTCTTCCTGGGGCTGTGTGCCGTCTTTCTGGTGCTGTGTGCCGTCTTTCTGGTGCTGTGTGCCGTCTTCCTGGTGCTGTGTGCCGTCTTTCTGGTGCTGTGTGCCGTCTTCCTGGTGCTGTGTGTCGTCTTCCTGGTGCTGTGTGCCGTCTTTCTGGTGCTGTGTGCCGTCTTCCTGGTGCTGTGTGTCGTCTTCCTGGTGCTGTGTGCCGTCTTTCTGGTGCTGTGTGCCGTCTTCCTGGTGCTGTGTGCCGTCTTCCTGGTGCTGTGTGTCGTCTTCCTGGTGCTGTGTGCCGTCTTCCTGGTGCTGTGTGCCGTCTTCCTGGGGCTGTGTGCCGTCTTTCTGGTGCTGTGTGCCGTCTTCCTGGTGCTGTGTGTCGTCTTCCTGGTGCTGTGTGCCGTCTTTCTGGTGCTGTGTGCCGTCTTCCTGGTGCTGTGTGCCGTCTTCCTGGTGCTGTGTGCCGTCTTCCTGGTGCTGTGTGTCGTCTTCCTGGTGCTGTGTGTCGTCTTCCTGGGGCTGTGTGCCGTCTTCCTGGGGCTGTGTGTCGTCTTCCTGGTGCTGTGTGTCGTCTTCCTGGTGCTGTGTGCCGTCTTCCTGGTGCTGTGTGCCGTCTTCCTGGGGCTGTGTGCCGTCTTCCTGGTGCTGTGTGTCGTCTTCCTGGTGCTGTGTGTCGTCTTCCTGGGGCTGTGTGCCGTCTTCCTGGTGCTGTGTGCCGTCTTCCTGGGGCTGTGTGCCGTCTTCCTGGTGCTGTGTGTCGTCTTCCTGGGGCTGTGTGCCGTCTTCCTGGGGCTGTGTGTCGTCTTCCTGGTGCTGTGTGTCGTCTTCCTGGTGCTGTGTGTCGTCTTCCTGGGGCTGTGTGCCGTCTTCCTGGGGCTGTGTGTCGTCTTCCTGGTGCTGTGTGTCGTCTTCCTGGTGCTGTGTGTCGTCTTCCTGGTGCTGTGTGTCGTCTTCCTGGTGCTGTGTGTCGTCTTCCTGGGGCTGTGTGTCGTCTTCCTGGTGCTGTGTGTCGTCTTCCTGGTGCTGTGTGTCGTCTTCCTGGTGCTGTGTGTCGTCTTCCTGGTGCTGTGTGTCGTCTTCCTGGTGCTGTGTGTCGTCTTCCTGGGGCTGTGGGTCGTCTTCCTGGTGCTGTGTGTCGTCTTCCTGGTGCTGTGTGTCGTCTTCCTGGGGCTGTGTGTCGTCTTCCTGGGGCTGTGTGTCGTCTTCCTGGTGCTGTGTGTCGTCTTCCTGGGGCTGTGGGTCGTCTTCCTGGTGCTGTGTGTCGTCTTCCTGGTGCTGTGTGTCGTCTTCCTGGTGCTGTGTGTCGTCTTCCTGGGGCTGTGTGTCGTCTTCCTGGTGCTGTGTGTCGTCTTCCTGGTGCTCTGTGTCGTCTTCCTGGGGCTGTGAGTCGTCTTCCTGGGGCTGTGGGTCGTCTTCCTGGTGCTGTGTGTCGTCTTCCTGGGGCTGTGTGTCGTCTTCCTGGGGCTGTGTGTCGTCTTCCTGGTGCTGTGTGTCGTCTTCCTGGTGCTGTGTGTCGTCTTCCTGGGGCTGTGGGTCGTCTTCCTGGTGCTGTGTGACGTCTTCCTGGTGCTGTGTGTCGTCTTCCTGGGGCTGTGGGTCGTCTTCCTGGTGCTCTGTGTCGTCGTCCTGGTGCTGTGTGTCGTCTTCCTGGGGCTGTGTGTCGTCTTCCTGGGGCTGTGTGTCGTCTTCCTGGGGCTGTGTGTCGTCTTCCTGGTGCTGTGTGTCGTCTTCCTGGGGCTGTGGGTCGTCTTCCTGGTGCTGTGTGTCGTCTTCCTGGTGCTGTGTGTCGTCTTCCTGGGGCTGTGGGTCGTCTTCCTGGTGCTCTGTGTCGTCTTCCTGGTGCTGTGTGTCGTCTTCCTGGTGCTGTGTGTCGTCTTCCTGGGGCTGTGTGTCGTCTTCCTGGTGCTGTGTGTCGTCTTCCTGGGGCTGTGTGTCGTCTTCCTGGGGCTGTGTGTCGTCTTCCTGGGGCTGTGGGTCGTGGAGACTCATTTCTTGCCTGAAGGCAGTCTTCACCCCCCCCCCCCCCCCCACCGCCGTACCGTAAAACTTCTCGGACCAATAAACTCCTTATCTTCCCTCCTTACATCTCTCACCTAAACTTCCGGATGGTCTTCAACGGTCCCTCACCAGTTTCACGCCCCACTCTCCCCCCCCCCACCTCCCCCTTCCATTCTTAGCGTTCCTTCACCAGTTTCACTTCCCCCCCCCCCCCCCTTGCCCCTTCTTACCCCTTCCAGTAGTCTCTTCCATCTTTAGCGTTCCATCGACAGCTTCACACATTCCCCCTTCCACCCTTCCCTAACCCCTCCTTTCTTACGCCTGTCTCTTCACTCATCGCCTCTCCTCTCCCTCCTTCCCTCCTCCCTCCACCGTCCTTTTTATTACTTTAACATTTTATCTATTTTCCTGTCGATCTTATGGTAATTATTTTCATAGATTCTCCTTGGCGAGAATTCCTTCATACTCGCTATTTGTTGTGGGGGAGTGGTGGTGGACCAGTGGAGGCACGGGTCCACACGTACCACTACAAGTACTATCTTAAGCAGGAGGATGGGTTGGTGTAACTTATATTCCTAGTAACGTACCCAACTCTGAGGTTGTCGGTGTAGAAACGTCAGCAATGGTCGTCAGCATTGGTCAGAACGAACACGTTATCTTATGTTAGGGTTTGGTCAGAGCAGTGCATTATCCTGTATCCTAATAGGTCAGCACCCTGTAGACCATCCAAATAGGTCAGCACCCTGTAGACCATCCCAATAGGTCAGCACCCTGTAGACCATCCAAATAGGTCAGCACCCCGTAGACCATCCAAATAGGTCAGCACCCCGTAGACCATCCAAATAGGTCAGCACCCTGTAGACCATCCAAATAGGTCAGCACCCCGTAGACCATCCAAATAGGTCAGCACCCTGTAGACCATCCAAATAGGTCAGCACCCCGTAGACCATCCAAATATCCTCTCATAACACTACCTAATTAGCTCATATTTCAATATCTGGAACACTTTTGTCACACAATTTTAGGCACACATTTTCACTATACAAACAACAGTTTTTCCAACACAAATATGGACAGAATTTTGTTCAAACTCGAGCAGTGTTTTGTTTTGAGACAGTTGCTCTCTAAACCGTGTTTTGATCAAGGTGCTGAGGTTGTCGTTCAGGTTCTGGGACCTGGATCTTGGCAGCAAAATGTTGTGTCAGTAGATCAGCATTTCCTGCTTTCTGGTTGTCACGGTCCCAACTTCTTTGTTTAGTGACGGGATTCCGTCCGCCGATGAGAATTCTTGACGGTCTTTGACCAGAGACCACAAGACTTTGGATCAAATTCTTCCTGAGGAAAGTTTTGTTCTTTGTTTCTGATCCTATCTGGAGATAGCTCGGTGTTAAATATCTATTATTAGATGACCAGCTCGTCTGTAAATGTTGCTGTTGTGAGCCGAAGGATGGCTATTATGTCTTCTCCGGCTTTGTTTGTCTGCAGCCACCCGGCATCGATAACCGGATGATGGCTGGTCACAAGACTTGCTCACACAAGGCTGTTGAGGAGTTATGAACAGTTGTTAGGTACGCAGGGTGGGGGCAGGTGATCACAGGTAAACAGGTGTGGGGGTGATCACAGGTAAACAGGTGTGGGGGGTGATCACAGGCTAGGTAAACAAGCAACCCGTTCTCGCACTTGCTCATAGTCAATATCTTGCTTATAAATATGTGCATATGTGACATACTAATTTATTGTGAATATTTGAGTTTACCTTGAAAAACTGAATAGAAAACCACAACCTAACCTAACCTTCTTAGTATGTTAAGATATTACAATTAGCACTGAACCAATAACTATATTGATATTACAGTTTTATAAAAATAATAAAACAAAACTAAAATATTTAATGTAAACTAAAATATATTAAAATATTAAAAAAACTAAAACTAAACTAAAATATTTTAAAAGTAATTGTAAAGTAACTCAGGATATAGTCAAATTTGGCATAAAATCTCTATTGTTTAATAAAACTGAGAGAAAAAGTTAGTGCCTTGAAAAAAATATGGCCTGGAATATGTCACATATGAACTTACTTATAAGCGAAATAGTGACTATAAGCAATAAGTCATATATGTGCTGTCTTGTGCGAGAGCAGGTTGCAACAAGGCATGTTGGGATGACAGAAGACAGTGTGATAGCATGTTCACTGTGGGTGCAAATGTCTTGGAGACGCTTGGGCTTCCTTATGCATTCACAATTAGGACAAGGGTGTGTGGGCGAGCTCTTGAGAGGGAAACATGGCGTGGGCGTGTAAGCTATGCACGAACTATTGACTTTTCATCAGTGCCAATCGATGGGCAGTAAAGTTGGCAGGATCAAGCCAACGGTGCCAATCACTGATGGACCTTCTGCCCTGCCCTCTCCTGCCTGTGTGTCCCTCTGTCCATCTAGTTTTGTGTAATTACCTAAGTGTAGGTACAGGAGTGGAGCTATGCTCTTGGTGTCCCGTCTTCCCAGTACTCTTCGTCGTATAACGCTTTGAAACTACTGACGGTTTTGGCCTCCACCACTTTCCCATTTAGCTTGTTCCAACCCTCTACCACTCGGTTTATTAAAGAAAACTTTCTAATATTTTTTCACCACCTTTGTTTTCCTAGGTTGAATCCGTGCTCTTGTTCTTGAGGTCGCTGGTTTCAGGAATTCCTCTGTGTCAGTTTGGTCGACTCCTATTATTGTTTTGTAAGTGGTGATCATATCACCTATCTTTCTTCTATCTTCTAGTTTTGGCATGTTTAACGCCTCGAGCCACTTCTCGTAACTTTTTTTTTAGTTCCGGAAGCCATTTTGTAGCAGGCCTTAATTTGTACCTTTTCCAGTTTCTTAATGTGCTTCTTGAGATTTGGGCACCATACAACTGCTGCATATTCCAGTTTTGGTCTCACAAAAGTCATGAACAGTTTCTTTAGTATTTCACCATCCATATAATTAAAAGCAAGTCTGAAGTTGGAAAGCGACGCATACGCTCCTCTCACAATGTTCTTTATGTGTTCCTCTGGCGACAGTTTACTATCCACCCCCCCCCTAGGTCTCCTTCTTTATTAGAGTTCTGTAATTCCTTTCCACATAATTTGTAAGTTGTGTGTGGTCTATTTTCTCAGATTCCACATTCCATAACATGGCATTTATTCACATTGAATTCCATTTGCCACTTGACGCTCCAAGCACTTATTTTATCTAGATCAATTTGAAGGGCATTACAATCGTCTGCGTCTCCTATCTTCCCCAGTATCTTAGCATCATCAAACATGTTCATATAATTCTGTATTCCTTCTGGTAGATGGTTTATGTAGACGATGAACATTACTGGTGCAAGAACTGAACCCTGTGGTACTCCGCTAGTAACACTCCTCCAGTCAGATACATTGTCTCTGATTACTGCCCTCATCTGTCTGTCAGAAAATTTTTCATCCATGTCAGAAGTCTCCCTGTCACCCCTCCAGCATGTTCCAGTTTCCAGAACAGCCTCTTGTGTGGGACTCTGTCAAAAGCCTTTTTTAGGTCCAGATAGACACAGTCAACCCAACCACCTCTTTCCTGTAGTATCTCTGTGGCTCTATCATAAAAACTAAGTAGATTTGTTACACAGGATCTTCCTGTTCGAAAACCATACTGTCTGTCCGTTATTATGTCATTACTCTCCAGGTGTTCAACCCATTTGGCTTTAAATATTGTTTCTAGTGTGTTGACCATCACGTTTGTTAATGATATGGGTCTGTAATTTAGAGGTTCCTCTCAACAACCATTTTTATTGATTGGTACTATGGCCCCTTGAGTAATTGTTCCACTTCGTCTTGAGATACCTCTATGTATTCTATGGCGTGTTCTGGAATGGGCATTGGGTCCAGCTCTCTTAAATCCTCATTTTATACAAAGAAACTTTGGAACTGTTTATTTAGCGTTTCACACATTTCTTTTTCATTCTCAATAATCCAGTTCTCCCTTGTCAATCTCTGGATATTATCCTTTACGTGCAGCTTGCTTTTAATGAATTTATAGAAAAGGTCTGGATCTATTTTACATTTGTCTGCTCTACCTTTCTCAAAGTTCCTGTCTGCCTCTCTCCTCGCTGCTGTGTAGTTGTTTCTTGCTTGCTTGTAGTGCTGGTGTGTTTGTGGGTTCGGCCTCTTCCTATATTGTACCCATTTTGTTGTCTTTTCCTCTCTGGCCCTCTCACAATATATGTTGAACTAATCCTGTTTTCTGGTCCTGCATCTCTACTCGCCTAATTGTGCTTGCCGGGGTTGAGCTTTGGCTCTTTGGTCATCTCTGTTTTGGAATGAATGATTGTGTTCCTTCATCGTATATTTCACAATTTTACATAATCTCCTTTACTTCCTTGCCTTGAAACAAGTCTGACCAATTAAATTCATTCAATAATTTTCTTAAGTTCCCCATAGTGTCCTCTTTTGAAATCAAGTTTATCAACAGTTTCAATGTCCCAATTCTCTTCTAGATTATATCTTTAAGCATATGTAATATCCAACAGGACATGATTAGTCTTTCCCAAGGGAGGAAGGTACTGGATGTCAAATATCTCTTCTTCTTTCCTGGTAAATTTTAGATCCAGTACTGACGGAACATCCCCTTCCCTCATTCTTGTGGCCTGCTTGACGTGGTGATACATGAATGTCTCCAAGATGAGGTTTACAAATCTGCCTGTCCAAATGTCCTCTGTTCTTGCCTCGTAGGCCTCCCAGTCTATTGCCTTAAAGTTGAAGTCCGCCAGTACCAACAATCGTGATTTATCTTTATCAGCTCTTACCATAATCTCTCTCCTGATAATTATAAAACCCTCGCGTTTGGTATCTGGTTCCTCCGTGACTCCGTCGTTCCTCTTGCTGACCACCTGTATGGAAAAATGAGTTTCCTTAGCTGTTCCCAACAGTATCTTGTATTTGGTGATCATGTCTCCCACTCCTTTCTCTACTAAACTCAACTCTACTGGT